AGTGACTGGAGCTGGAACACCAGAAGAGGTGACTGGGTAGGTGGTAGAAGTGGTAACGACTTCACCTTCAGAGTCGGTAGTGGTGTAGAAAGAGATGACATCGGTTTCGGTGTGGCTACCAGAAGATACAACAGTAGTGACTGGAGCTGGAACACCTGATGAGGTGACTGGGTAGGTGGTAGAAGTGGTAACGACTTCACCTTCAGAGTCGGTAGTGGTGTAGAAAGAGATGACGTCGGTTTCGGTGTGGCTACCAGAGGATACAACAGTAGTGACTGGAGCTGGAACACCAGAAGAGGTGACTGGGTAGGTGGTAGAAGTGGTAACGACTTCACCTTCAGAGTCGGTAGTGGTGTAGAAAGAGATGACATCGGTTTCGGTGTGGCTACCAGAGGATACAACAGTAGTGACTGGAGCTGGAACACCTGATGAGGTGACTGGGTAGGTGGTAGAAGTGGTAACGACTTCACCTTCAGAGTCGGTAGTGGTGTAGAAAGAGATGACGTCGGTTTCGGTGTGGCTACCAGAGGATACAACAGTAGTGACTGGAGCTGGAACACCTGATGAGGTGACTGGGTAGGTGGTAGAAGTGGTAACGACTTCACCTTCAGAGTCGGTAGTGGTGTAGAAAGAGATGACGTCGGTTTCGGTGTGGCTACCAGAGGATACAACAGTAGTGACTGGAGCTGGAACACCAGAAGAGGTGACTGGGTAGGTGGTAGAAGTGGTAACGACTTCACCTTCAGAGTCGGTAGTGGTGTAGAAAGAGATGACATCGGTTTCGGTGTGGCTACCAGAGGATACGACAGTAGTGACTGGAGCTGGAACACCAGAAGAGGTGACTGGGTAGGTGGTAGAAGTGGTAACGACTTCACCTTCAGAGTCGGTAGTGGTGTAGAAAGAGATGACATCGGTTTCGGTGTGGCTACCAGAGGATACAACTGTAGTGACTGGAGCTGGAACACCAGAAGAGGTGACTGGGTAGGTGGTAGAAGTGGTAACGACTTCACCTTCAGAGTCGGTAGTGGTGTAGAAAGAGATGACGTCGGTTTCGGTGTGGCTACCAGAGGATACAACAGTAGTGACTGGAGCTGGAACACCAGAAGAGGTGACTGGGTAGGTGGTAGAAGTGGTAACGACTTCACCTTCAGAGTCGGTAGTGGTGTAGAAAGAGATGACATCGGTTTCGGTGTGGCTACCAGAGGATACAACAGTAGTGACTGGAGCTGGAACACCTGATGAGGTGACTGGGTAGGTGGTAGAAGTGGTAACGACTTCACCTTCAGAGTCGGTAGTGGTGTAGAAAGAGATGACGTCGGTTTCGGTGTGGCTACCAGAGGATACAACAGTAGTGACTGGAGCTGGAACACCTGATGAGGTGACTGGGTAGGTGGTAGAAGTGGTAACGACTTCACCTTCAGAGTCGGTAGTGGTGTAGAAAGAGATGACATCGGTTTCGGTGTGGCTACCAGAGGATACAACAGTAGTGACTGGAGCTGGAACACCAGAAGAGGTGACTGGGTAGGTGGTAGAAGTGGTAACGACTTCACCTTCAGAGTCGGTAGTGGTGTAGAAAGAGATGACATCAGTTTCGGTGTGGCTACCAGAGGATACAACAGTAGTGACTGGAGCTGGAACACCAGAAGAGGTGACTGGGTAGGTGGTAGAAGTGGTAACGACTTCACCTTCAGAGTCGGTAGTGGTGTAGAAAGAGATGACATCGGTTTCGGTGTGGCTACCAGAGGATACAACAGTAGTGACTGGAGCTGGAACACCTGATGAGGTGACTGGGTAGGTGGTAGAAGTGGTAACGACTTCACCTTCAGAGTCGGTAGTGGTGTAGAAAGAGATGACATCGGTTTCGGTGTGGCTACCAGAGGATACAACAGTAGTGACTGGAGCTGGAACACCAGAAGAGGTGACTGGGTAGGTGGTAGAAGTGGTAACGACTTCACCTTCAGAGTCGGTAGTGGTGTAGAAAGAGATGACGTCGGTTTCGGTGTGGCTACCAGAGGATACAACAGTAGTGACTGGAGCTGGAACACCTGATGAGGTGACTGGGTAGGTGGTAGAAGTGGTAACGACTTCACCTTCAGAGTCGGTAGTGGTGTAGAAAGAGATGACGTCGGTTTCGGTGTAGCTACTAGAGGATACAACAGTAGTGACTGGAGCTGGAACACCTGATGAGGTGACTGGGTAGGTGGTAGAAGTGGTAACGACTTCACCTTCAGAGTCGGTAGTGGTGTAGAAAGAGATGACATCGGTTTCGGTGTGGCTACCAGAGGATACAACAGTAGTGACTGGAGCTGGAACACCAGAAGAGGTGACTGGGTAGGTGGTAGAAGTGGTAACGACTTCACCTTCAGAGTCGGTAGTGGTGTAGAAAGAGATGACATCGGTTTCGGTGTGGCTACCAGAGGATACAACTGTAGTGACTGGAGCTGGAACACCTGATGAGGTGACTGGGTAGGTGGTAGAAGTGGTAACGACTTCACCTTCAGAGTCGGTAGTGGTGTAGAAAGAGACGACATCGGTTTCGGTGTGGCTACCAGAGGATACAACTGTAGTGACTGGAGCTGGAACACCTGATGAGGTGACTGGGTAGGTGGTAGAAGTGGTAACGACTTCACCTTCAGAGTCGGTAGTGGTGTAGAAAGAGATGACATCGGTTTCGGTGTGGCTACCAGAGGATACAACTGTAGTGACTGGAGCTGGAACACCAGAAGAGGTGACTGGGTAGGTGGTAGAAGCGGCAATAGTATTTTGAGTTAAACTTAGAGATTCTAAAGATAGGGAAGTTCTTATAGTAACAGATTTATCTGCATTAATAGAAGCAATTTTTGAAATGCTCGAAATGAATGACGTACAACTAATGGAAGCATTAATACTCGAAGTAATCCTAACATCAGTACATACATCAGAAATTAAATATGTTGTCGAAATGGTAACTACTTCACCTTCAGAGTCGGTAGTGGTGTAGAAAGAGATGACATCGGTTTCGGTGTGGCTACCAGAGGATACAACTGTAGTGACTGGAGCTGGAACACCTGATGAGGTGACTGGGTAGGTGGTAGAAGTGGTAACGACTTCACCTTCAGAGTCGGTAGTGGTGTAGAAAGAGATGACATCGGTTTCGGTGTGGCTACCAGAGGATACAACAGTAGTGACTGGAGCTGGAACACCAGAAGAGGTGACTGGGTAGGTGGTAGAAGTGGTAACGACTTCACCTTCAGAGTCGGTAGTGGTGTAGAAAGAGATGACGTCGGTTTCGGTGTGGCTACCAGAGGATACAACTGTAGTGACTGGAGCTGGAACACCAGAAGAGGTGACTGGGTAGGTGGTAGAAGTGGTAACGACTTCACCTTCAGAGTCGGTAGTGGTGTAGAAAGAGATGACATCGGTTTCGGTGTGGCTACCAGAGGATACAACAGTAGTGACTGGAGCTGGAACACCAGAAGAGGTGACTGGGTAGGTGGTAGAAGTGGTAACGACTTCACCTTCAGAGTCGGTAGTGGTGTAGAAAGAGATGACATCGGTTTCGGTGTGGCTACCAGAGGATACAACAGTAGTGACTGGAGCTGGAACACCTGATGAGGTGACTGGGTAGGTGGTAGAAGTGGTAACGACTTCACCTTCAGAGTCGGTAGTGGTGTAGAAAGAGATGACGTCGGTTTCGGTGTGGCTACCAGAGGATACAACAGTAGTGACTGGAGCTGGAACACCAGAAGAGGTGACTGGGTAGGTGGTAGAAGTGGTAACGACTTCACCTTCAGAGTCGGTAGTGGTGTAGAAAGAGATGACATCGGTTTCGGTGTGGCTACCAGAGGATACAACAGTAGTGACTGGAGCTGGAACACCAGAAGAGGTGACTGGGTAGGTGGTAGAAGTGGTAACGACTTCACCTTCAGAGTCGGTAGTGGTGTAGAAAGAGATGACATCGGTTTCGGTGTGGCTACCAGAGGATACAACAGTAGTGACTGGAGCTGGAACACCTGATGAGGTGACTGGGTAGGTGGTAGAAGTGGTAACGACTTCACCTTCAGAGTCGGTAGTGGTGTAGAAAGAGATGACGTCGGTTTCGGTGTGGCTACCAGAGGATACAACAGTAGTGACTGGAGCTGGAACACCAGAAGAGGTGACTGGGTAGGTGGTAGAAGTGGTAACGACTTCACCTTCAGAGTCGGTAGTGGTGTAGAAAGAGATGACATCGGTTTCGGTGTGGCTACCAGAGGATACAACTGTAGTGACTGGAGCTGGAACACCTGATGAGGTGACTGGGTAGGTGGTAGAAGTGGTAACGACTTCACCTTCAGAGTCGGTAGTGGTGTAGAAAGAGATGACGTCGGTTTCGGTGTGGCTACCAGAGGATACAACAGTAGTGACTGGAGCTGGAACACCTGATGAGGTGACTGGGTAGGTGGTAGAAGTGGTAACGACTTCACCTTCAGAGTCGGTAGTGGTGTAGAAAGAGATGACGTCGGTTTCGGTGTGGCTACCAGAGGATACAACAGTAGTGACTGGAGCTGGAACACCAGAAGAGGTGACTGGGTAGGTGGTAGAAGTGGTAACGACTTCACCTTCAGAGTCGGTAGTGGTGTAGAAAGAGATGACATCGGTTTCGGTGTGGCTACCAGAGGATACAACAGTAGTGACTGGAGCTGGAACACCTGATGAGGTGACTGGGTAGGTGGTAGAAGTGGTAACGACTTCACCTTCAGAGTCGGTAGTGGTGTAGAAAGAGATGACATCGGTTTCGGTGTGGCTACCAGAGGATACAACAGTAGTGACTGGAGCTGGAACACCTGATGAGGTGACTGGGTAGGTGGTAGAAGTGGTAACGACTTCACCTTCAGAGTCGGTAGTGGTGTAGAAAGAGATGACATCGGTTTCGGTGTGGCTACCAGAGGATACAACTGTAGTGACTGGAGCTGGAACACCAGAAGAGGTGACTGGGTAGGTGGTAGAAGTGGTAACGACTTCACCTTCAGAGTCGGTAGTGGTGTAGAAAGAGATGACGTCGGTTTCGGTGTGGCTACCAGAGGATACAACAGTAGTGACTGGAGCTGGAACACCAGAAGAGGTGACTGGGTAGGTGGTAGAAGTGGTAACGACTTCACCTTCAGAGTCGGTAGTGGTGTAGAAAGAGATGACGTCGGTTTCGGTGTGGCTACCAGAGGATACAACAGTAGTGACTGGAGCTGGAACACCTGATGAGGTGACTGGGTAGGTGGTAGAAGTGGTAACGACTTCACCTTCAGAGTCGGTAGTGGTGTAGAAAGAGATGACATCGGTTTCGGTGTGGCTACCAGAGGATACAACAGTAGTGACTGGAGCTGGAACACCTGATGAGGTGACTGGGTAGGTGGTAGAAGTGGTAACGACTTCACCTTCAGAGTCGGTAGTGGTGTAGAAAGAGATGACGTCGGTTTCGGTGTAGCTACCAGAGGATACAACAGTAGTGACTGGAGCTGGAACACCTGATGAGGTGACTGGGTA